TGCTTCTTGGCAAATGGTGGGGTTGTTAGCCATACCTTGGGGGAGAAGAGTCCATTCATATCTTTTTGCAGGTCCAGAATTGATTGTGGAGACGGAGAAGGCGAATCTCTTATAATCTCTTGGGTGTAATGGAATGGAGAAGAAACAATCCTTGATATCGATAACAAGGGGGTATTTGGGGGAATGGCTGAGACCAGGAGGAGTCTGCATTGAGGGGAGCCCCAAATTTGCATGATTTTGTTGGAGGTCCTTAGGTCTTATAATAAGTGCCACCCCCCCAAGCTTTTTTTTTAATGGTGAAGATGGGGGTGTTCCATGGGCTGCAGGAAGACTGGATATGTCCTGATTGTAATTGTTCTTTAACAAGTTTTTCAATGATTAGTAATCTCTCCCTAGATAGTGGCCACTGTTGAACCCAGATGGGATCATCAGAGTTCCATTCTAGGCAGGAAGTTTGATAATTAACAGTGGCCATTAGTATTGGGGGTGATCAGTGAATGGGCAAAAGGGGTGTGAGTCAAACAGGTTGCTGGGGTCCATTGAAGGATCCTCATCCCCAGTGGTGATAATTACATCGAGAGCTCTGAGGAGGTCTCTTCCTAGTAGGTTAGTAGCCAAGTCAGCAACCAAAGGGCGGATGTGGCCTTTGTTTCCATCAGGGTCCTCCCATGTGAAGGTTTCTTCATGATGAAGGCCTGGGAGGTGCCCCCCACCCCACTAACTTGGGACCTGGTAGTAAGGACCATGTCGAGGCTTCCTGTCTCCTAATGGTAGCCTTATCGGCCCGTGTCAATGAGGCATTTCAAGGGCTTCCCCCTAATTTGGTAACTATTTGGGGGTGAGTTTTTTCTAGTATGGTGGAGGTCCATAAGGTTTTGGCCTTAGGAGGCTACCCTCTTACTGGCAGGGCTGAAGGCTCCCCCGAGAGAAGTTTAAAGGCAGGAGTGGCTTTCCTTCTTTATCATATTTGGAACGGCAATCGTGTTTCCAATGGAATCCTTTTCTGCAGCAAGGGCAGATTGTCTTAGGGGCTTCATTTGTTTTAGTTTGGGTGTCATCTTGAGGGCATTCATTTTTCCAATGTCCCCTATCCCTGCATTTAAAGCATTTACCTTCTTGTTTTAAGGCAGCTGAGAAAGCATGAGCTATGGATGTGGCCTTATGAGTGGCCGTGCCTATATCTTATCATAATGTTCCTCCTTTAAGCCTTGACAGGCCTGTTCACATTCAGAGGTCATCCCATCCCAAACAATATTGTGGAATAGGATGTCTCTTGTTGTAGGGTCAGAAATTTTTTTATCTATGCTAGTTTTGGACCTGAGTATAAAGTCAGCAAGGGATTCTTTGGGTTTTTGCTGGAGGAACATGAGGGATGATTCAGAGGTAGGGCCGGGGAGGGGTAATACGCTCCCAGGCCTTCAAGGTGCAAAGGCGCAGCTGATCATAATACCCAGGTGGGAATCCCACCTGCTGGACTCCTGTGGCCCAGTTGCCCTGACTAAAGAGGGCGTCAAAGTTCCAATTGATATCAGCTTGGTCAGTGTTTCTGCAGTGTTGTTGGATATACTCATCACAGAAAAGGGCCTCCCATTGTAAGAAGAGGGGGCCAGGCAGAGATGCCCTGCAGACGTCTCGCCAGTCCTGGCTGTACGCCATCCTCATGTACAGCTTGTCGGAGTTCCTTAAGGTCTCCTGCTGAGTATGGGTACTATTGTAGGGGCCTGCGAAGGGTGGGGACCAGGTTAACTGGCAAGGCCTGATATTCTAGGTTTTGGGTGTCCCTGATATTGCAGAGCTGTTGGGTAGCCGAAGGGGCGGGTTTGGGCAGGGCTGTGGGAGTAGGCTGGGGTTTCTCCCTAGGAGGAGGTTTGGGGTCTTGGTCCCCAGCTTCCTCATGTGGGTAGGGAGGCAAATGCAGAGGAGGGTAGAGGTGTAAGGGTTCCATTTTAAAGTTAGCTAACTCTTTTCTGATACTTTCTATGGCCTGTTCCAGGGATGCCAGGTCAGCCATGGGGCGATCTTCTGGCCATTCCTCATCTGAGTCCTCAGGGGAAGGATTGGGACAAGGGGGAGCCTTCTCTGATATTGTGGGTTGGGGGGGGACCTACACATTGCCTGATGGCTGCAATGATGGGGAGGATTTGGTCGGGGGGAGCTGTCTTCGATCTCCCTCCATCTGTCCAGGTAGGCTACCCTGGTCCAGACTTCTGAGTCATATGGGTCCCTGGAGGCTATCCAAGGGGTGAGTTGTAGGACTTCATCCCAAAAGGAGGCAGCCTCTCTCTGAGAGAGTTTAACCCGTCTACTTTTAAGAGCCTGGAGGCCCGTGATTTGGGGATCCCTCAAGTTTCCAGGGGTGTTGCCCATGATAGAAAAGGAAAGGGAGGTGAAACACTGAGTCCTAGTGGAATGTTCCTAAGACCCGGAGATTTCGGGGGATTCCTAACTAGCCCGGAGCATAAGCCTGACCACAAATTTCAAAGAACCAGTGACCACCCTAGTGGTTTTTAACTGGTCTTTGTGTTACCAGGTTTTGTAGTAAAGAGATGTATAGATAGGAGGTCTTTGCTGACACCCAGGAGGGCAGTGGGGTGGTGGTGGTGGGGTCTGTTCAGAGGACTAGGAGCCTTCAACTAACATCAGAGAGTGGCCCCTGATCAGAAAGCTTCAGTTACCCTTTCATCTTGAATGGTCCTTTGTGAAGGCACAAACCAAAAATGAAAAGGAGGATAGAAGAGAATGCCGATCCTCAGCAAGCAGATGGCCAAGGCTTAGTAGCCAATGTCCCTCTGTTGGGGAGTATTCACCCTTCTCCTGTGCATCCTGGAGAGAGGCTTAGCAGCCAATGTCCCTCTGTTGGGGAGTATTCACCCTTCTCCTGTGCATCCTGGAGAGCCTGTCTTGAGCCCAACGTTGGGTGCCAGCTGTCGCTCCCCCCTCTCCTTGGCCCAAACCCCGATGCTACCAGGAGGCCGTTGCACACCAGCCCCTGTCACGGGAAGTCGGGGCGAGGAGAGAACCCGTCAGGGAAGGGAGGCCTTGGGTGGCAGTGAGTACAATGGGAAGAAAACACCTGGGAGGCTGTGTCAGCGGACAGCTCCTTTATTATGGCGGAAGCAGAGGTTTATATAGGAAAGCTTCACCGGCAAAGAGGCGAGGTTGGGTTTTCTGGCAGGCCGGCAGGTAGGGGGAGGGAGGGGGCTTCTAAGGCTATGTGGCCTTTGTCCTGTCATCCAGTCACATAATCTACAAGGGACCCAGTTAGGATTAAAGGATTAGAGGTGTAATAGTTTTGCTTGGGGGTTGTTGGGTAAGAGAAGGTATATCTAGAATGGAGTGGGCCAGCTTCCTGCCATCCTCACTAGGAGGTATCTGGCCTGGTGGCCATGCTCTGCATTCCAGGTACTACTGACTTATTCCAACACTCCCAAACTGATACTGCTCCTTTAACCTATATTTGGTAGAAAAGCATGTCCATTGCTCTTGGTTCAGGGAATAATAAAAGTGCATCAGGGAACACTCTTCTTCTGAAAAGATTCCCTAGGTACAACATTTTAAGGAACATAAAATGATGAACGTTTCCCACATATCACTGAGTCATCAATTTGTTATACAAAGCTCTTTTTGAGGATGGTCAGAAAAACCTTGAGGGGGGAAAAGTGCCCTTGTCTTTCTTTGCCTGTTAAACAGAGACGAGAGACATAACTAATTCTGTTGTTGAAATTTCAAGGCTATTTTCGTGAATGGAGGCTCTCCAATAAGAATAGCCTTATCCCTGTAGCTCTGCTAGCTGTTAAGGGGGTTTCCTTTCTTCTCTTAACTGGTACAAGTTATTTTTCTTCTTTCTGTTTTAAGTAATATTAGTCATCCCTCAAACCTTTGATCCAGACTCCTAAATGGGATGCTCCTCAACATCCACTCAGCCCTCTGTGAACTTGTGCATGGTGCCTTGTGCTATAATTTTCTGGATCTCCCCTACCATCTTGGAGAGCCTCCTTCCACAGTGTCTCCCAGTGTTCCATGTGCTCAGCACAGCCCACACACTTAGCAGTTTCTCCACATATATTTCTGGGATGAATGAGTGCTTATATGATAAAGGGACTTCATTACTCTTACAGCATGATGAGTATATTGTTATGGAAGCCAGAGTGAGGGACAAGAAAGGAAGTTAGGTAAGCATTTTTGACAGGAAGAGAGTTAGGGAAAAGAGGCCATAGATAAAGGACAGGAGACTGACACAAGCTTGGTAGGTGTATTCTTAACTCCGGCAGGAAGGCTTCATTTTTTTAACCTCAATTGGGCCCCTTCAACTGACTTTCTGAATGAGAATGTCCCCCATAGGCTCCAAATATTTGGACGTTTTGTCCCCAGTTGGTGGTGCTGTTTTGGGAAGTCTTAGAAGGTGTGGCCATGCTGGAGGAAGCACGTCACTGTGGGCAGACTTAGATCTTTTTTTTTTTTTTTAAGGAAATTTTTGGTTTTTATTTAATTATTATAATCCAGCAAAGGAAGCAGGGCAGTTTAAGTGGCTTGTCCAACCAGAGCAGTGGCAGCACTAATAGGCCCCTTACCTCCTCATCTGCCATCCTTATAGTATCTGTATTGTTCAGAATTGGAAAGCTGGAGTGTCATTCACCTAAAGAACTGCCTAGCTTCTTGTTGCCTTTGTTCAAGCACACTCTGTATCCTGCTTCTGGGCTGTGTCCAGCCATACTCAAAGACCTCTTCTTATCACTTGTTCCATTCCTGCAGTTAATCACACACGTCAAAGCCCTACGGCTTTATTACAAAAGGAGTTGACTACTAGAAAGGGCCCTCTGCAGTCTTTCTTGGTATCATTCTCCTTCTAATACGCCCCCTCCGGGGAAGGTCAGTAGATCATCACGGAAGAAGAATCCAGGAGAGTGAAAGAGGGCAATGCTGTCTCCAAAGTCCTCTAAAACCGCCACCAAATCCTTGTGGCTGCGACTGAGAATCTTCTGGTAGAAGAGGTAGGAAATTTAGCTTGCATCTTCAAGGTCTTCCATATCTACATCCTGGGGAGCTTTTATCTTCTTCTGTCTTTTGGGCTATGGTTCACTAGTCCTGGTTGGCTTTGAGGGGGCCTCTGCTTCCATGGCTGCCTTTCTTTCTGGGCAAGACGGATCTGCTGCAGGAGTTTTCTTCGCTTCTTCCCGGACAGAGTAATGTTGGCACGTGCACTGGATCCCCGCTTCTTGAGGTACTGACTGGTAATCAGCCTTTCATCTACCATGGCCCCAACCACCTGGTGCTTCAGCCCCGGATCCCCGGCTCAGCACCCTCCGGCGCTTGAACAGCTTCTTCTTCAGCTCCATCTGGGGATGATTGATCTTTCCTACCCTTAGATAGTTCTTAAACTTTGCTGGGTCTCCAGTCAAGCTCTGCTTCCTGTGCGTGCTTGAAGATGTGAATGGTGCTCTTTCTGTTCCAGCCTCCTCTGCCACCATGCCTCCTGGTCATGATGGACTCCTGCCCCTTTGGAGCTGCAAGCTAAATAAACTCTTCCTTTTATAAGTACCCTTGGTTGTGGTGTTCCTATCACAGCAACAGAAAAGTAAACTAATACAGGCTCAAAGTCCCGTAGTCCATCATCTGAATTAAATGAGTCTGGGGCCCGTATTAGCATCTCTTTTTTTGTTTAAGGGGACCAATCCCTCTGCACTTTGATCTTCTGTTTTTCCCTGATGGTCAATTCTTTGCCCATCTCTCAGAAAGAGCCTAGACTCCTAGACAGCTCTACCAGATCTACACTGGATTCTCAAACACCCTGTTGTAAGAGTTCGATGCAAAGATCATTTTCCCCCATGTGCCTATCATGTTAAATATGAATGTTTGACTTTCCACTCTTCAAATCTGACACCGGCTCTCTGGTTTCTATGTGCCCGTGTCATTAGGGGTGATTCTATTTCCAAGGATGAGGTCACGTGTGGCTCAGTTTGTGCTGCTTTCCATCCATGTTCCCTTTTTACCCTTTATGCCCCCCCCAACTTAACTCATTGAAGGCTGAGTTTCTTGAATCACTGCTTCTCTGTAGAGTGGTCAGCAGGCAAATTCCTACTCCAGTTCCTTAGTCTCCAGGTGTGCTCAGTGTCAGCTCACTGATAATAGAATTCCATTCCTTGGTGACCTGGTACTTGCTACATTGGAGCACAATGGATTGGCAAGCCAAATACTCAGGTAGGCAGGGAAAGGGCTTTTCCTCTGTTTCTCCCTGCAACAAAAGTCCAGTTAGCCCTGCCACCAATTGCTCTGATCTCTTACAGGCTGTGTACTCAGCCTCCCTATGTAAAGATGACAACCACTAAATAAAGCAATGAGGATTAAGTAAAATGCACATAGAGTTTAGTATGGTGTCTAGCATATAGTAAGCGGTTAACACCAAAAGCTATGACTTCATGCCCAAGAAGCGAGGAACAGCAAGGGCATGAATATTACGAATACATTTAATTTTCTAGTTCAGAGATTCTAGATAGGACTCATTCAAACCTTTGAGGGAGGGATTTTTAAAAATTCAGTATGAAATTTTACAAACCACTCCCATTGGGAAACAGACGATCTAATACAGTATTAAGATTTGGTTCAGGTGTAACAGAATCCCCTGCCCCAACCACAGAACATAACAAAGGAATTTAAAAGTTTTATTCTTTTGAGAGTTTCACACATGTATATAAGGAATTTTAGTCCTTTTTACCCCCTATAATCCTGTCTCACCCCATCCTTTTCTTTTCCCACTTAAATGCTTCACCTTTCTAACCAGTCTGACCTCCATTCCATTTTCATGTCTTTTGTGATAACTCAGGAATTTTCCTCTCATATAATAGTCCAGAATTGAAAGTGATGATGTGGTGACTTTTCTCCAGGTCTTCGGGGGTCTGGAGTTCATCTTGATCTTCAGGCATCTATCACCTCTGCAGTTACTTCATGACCCAAAGTGACTGGCGAGTTCTGTCCATGGAATCTATATTCCAAGCAGTCAGAAGTACACAGGGTAAAAGAAGAAACAGCAAGTGGATCCAGCACTTCTTTTAAGGAAGATTTCTGAAGCTGCCATGTGACACTCCTGGTCATATCCCACTGGTCAGAAGTGATTCCCCTTGATCTTTATTCTCCATTGCCGCGTTCCCAGCTGTAAACCTAGAGTACTTACCACAGAAGACAGGAAAAAATGAATGTTGATATTGTCACAGTTAGGAAACAGAAGTGTGGGTCCTAAAATCTCACTGGGTCCTATGTTATTATTAATCAATAAAAATGGGAATCAATAATATGCTTCACCCCCATACTCATGCAATAAATCTAGGCTCTGGTGATTTGTAATGGTTAAGACTGTCAACTTCACAGGACCTAAAACCACCCAGGAGATAAACCTGTGGGCATGTCTGAGAGGGGCTTGTCTTGACTCAGCTAATTAAGAAGGAAAGAGCTACTCTAACTGTCCACAGTGTCATTCCATGGTGGACTGAATGAAAAGGAGAAGCAAGCTGAGCACTGGCATCCATCTCTCTGCTTCCTGACTGTGGACACAATGTGACCAGCTTCCCCCATTATTAGGGTTTCAAACCGTAGCAGCGCCGCCCCCCCAACAGGGTCCCGCGGACTTCTCAAGCCTGTAAAAAGGGAACTGAGCTGATAAGCACAGTGGTCTTTGAAGTCAAGCGAAGCAGACTCTTCTAAGAGGCAGCCTGCCTTTCCTTTGATCTCCTAAGACAAAATAAGCAGATTCTGCCTGTTAACCAAAGACTTGAGCTGTTTTAGAACAGCAGCTTTTCCCTTATCTTAAGAGGACAGAAAATAAACACCTCCTGACCCAGATCCTGGCTGGCAGATGGAACAGAGCAGGGTTTACAAGCCCTGCTTTTCCTGCTTCGCCCCCTCACCTGATTTTTCCCCCCAAAACTTCCCACCTTCTGCACCCTGAAGCCCCCGTATATAAGCCCCAGCTCACAATCCGTGGGCTGACATTTTCCCTTCCCCGAAGGGAACGTGTTCTGTGCAAAATAAAGCTTTATCCCATTGAGAGTTTTATCCGTGTCTTGTGCCTCATCCTCCATTTGTTCATTCTCCGACAACTTTTTATCTGTCACCCATTTCCTGCAGCCTTGTCTTCTCTGCCATAACGGACCTCAAACTGTGAGCCAAAATAAACCCTTCCTTCAGTAAGTTACTTTTGTCAGGTATTTTGTTACAGTGATGAGACAAGTAACTAATAAGGGGTGCAAAAATAAAGACACAACGCCAAGTGAAATCTCCAAATGAAGATAAGGCTGATATGCTGCCCTGGTGGTAGTTACAAGATGTCACTGGATGTGAGAGAAGGAATGATTGGGTCTTCGGCATCAGAGGAGCCGGTGTGAGGAGGTATCACAGAGAATAGATTTGTTTGTAGGGATCTTGGTGGATAAAGAGGACTTTCTTAAGAACAAACAAGAATAAGCCCGAAGTCAGCTGCTGGCTACCTCTTCAGCAGTGGCCAAGAGAGGCTTGGCTGACCTAAGTGGATTCAAAAATTAATTAGGGAAACAGAGAGAAAACCCTAGGCTGATCTGACTTCTATGCACCCAAAGAACAAGGAAGAGAGATTGCAACACCATGGTTATTCCTTTATTAAATTTAGTTAATTATTATTATTATTTTTTGAAACAGGGTCTCCCTATAGCCCCGGCTGGTCTGGAACTCCCTATGTCAATCAGGCTGGCTTTGATCTCATAGAGATTGGCCTGCCTCTGTCCCCACGAGTGCTGGGATTAAATGTGTACACCACCATACTGGCTTTACATTTGTTTGTTTATGTGTATATATGTGTGTGTGCCACATGTGTGCAGATACCAGCAGAGGCCAAAAGAGGGCTCAGGTCTCTTGGAACTAGAGTTACAGGTGGTTGTGAGCCACCCAACCTGGGTTCTGGGAACCAAACTCAGGCCTTCTGGAAGAACAGCAAGTGCTCTTAACCCCTGAGCTGTCTCTCCAGCCCCATCCTTAATTTAAATGATATATAACCAGACGCTTTGCCATAGTCCAAGCCTTTTTTCTGAAATATTGGAAAACTTTTTCATGTGAAGAACAAATTTGGGGCCAATGAGATGACTTGGTGGGTAAAGGCACTTACTGCCAAGGCTGATTATCAGAGTTCAATCCCTGGGTTCCACATATTAGAAGGAGAAAGCTGACTCATCATGCAAATTGTCTTCTGACCACCACACACAGACTATGGAACAGGTGCATGAAAACACACATATCCCCAAATGTCAAAAAAAATTTTTTTCAAAGAGCAAAACTAGCATCATGTGAGTGGGACTGAGCTATTTTTTTAGAGATGAGTTAAAAATATGGAATTATGGGGGTGGAGAGATGGCTCAGGGGTTAAGGGCACTAACTGCTCTTCCAGAGGACCCAGGTTTCCTAGCACCCACATGCAGCTAACAACCATCCTTAACTCCAGTTTCAGGGGATTTGATGCCCTCTGCTGGCCTCGGCAGGCACCAGGCATACACATGGTACACTTGCATACATGCTGGCAAAACACCCGTATACATTTCTTTTTTTTAAAAAAAGGGAATTAGCTGAAGTGTTCATGGTATAACATTTGTGCTGAAATGATGAATAATAATCTCATTGAGAGAGCCACCAGAGCTCCTGGAGAAGAGCTTTACTAATGGCAATAAAAGCAGTCTCTCAGTGTTTATCGGCACAAACGGGACCGGACTGTGACAGATGGGAGGTAGAATGCCTTTCCCTAGCCACACACTACTACTGGGGAAGGAACTCTGCTGGTTTCCTTAGTGATAAACCCTCTTTTGCATATGAACATGCATGCACTGGCATACATGCATTTTAATATGATCCCCGTGAACTGACGGTGACACTGGGCTGCTGGATGACAGTCTAAATGACATCAACAGCAAAGTCACATAGCTGTAATGATAGATGGAGATGACATCAACATTGGATTCAAAACAACTCAGAGAAGTTGCTTTCTAATGAACACAGGATAACTCTGGTTTACTAAACTCTAGGGACAAAGAGAAACCTTTTCAGCCATCCAAAACATGGCTAAATCTGTGCCCTCTCCAGAGGCTGCTGTGGGAACTTTCCAGAAGTACAGTGCACAGCCAGAGTCCTTGTACAAAATGTGGGGCTCTCAGCAAGAAAAAAAGGACAGAATAAAATTATACAAAAGTGTCTGTCTCTTTAAACTGTATTGACCCACCTTACAGAGCTCTTGTTTTTAAAAAGTTAATAAACTTGAATGGCTCATTTTGAAATCATTTCCTGAGGTAATTGCAAGGAAGTGCCATAAAAGTTTCACAGGCAGTAAATGTCACAGTTGATTTGTAA